TAAAGGGTTCTTATCATCCTTGAGGGCTTGGCAGTTGGAAGGCGTTTGCCTGGGAGTTTCTGCAAGGAGTGCTTAGGAGTTGGAAGCCTATCAATTGCTATAAAGGTCCGGGAGAGGGGTTCTTTTGTGGGGCAGGGAGGGTCAGACAGCTGAGTGTCCCCCCACACCACCCAGGGACACTGCAGACGGACACAGGCTATGGAACTAGCCTTGTGTGGGGTGAATAGATGAGCTGCAACAGCTGGAAGGACCCAGAGCAGGGATTCTAAAGAGCAAAACAAACCAAAACTGAGGAAGGAAAGGTGCCGCCTGAGTGGCTGGAAGCCTTGCTTGCTCAGCGTGCTTTGCAGCTTGCAGGCCCAGCATGTTTCCCCTGGCCATGTACCTGATGTCCTTCCAAACCCTCCCCAGCACCTTCATTTTTTTCTGCCGGAAGTTATGTGTATGAACTGCCATTTACTTTTTTTGTAATAATCTTGCCGAACCAGTTAGGTTGGTTTAAAATACCAAACACCTAAAATAGCACTTGTGGAAGATGATGCCCATATGAAAATAAATATTAGATATGTGAACAATGTGTAGCAGAACTTTCCGAGAGGTGTTCCTGGAAGAGCGTTGCACCAGCAGGGCTTTGGTTACTCAAATCACATTAAACGTTTACGATAAGAGGGTTGTCTAATCCGTGGAACGGACAGTATGTGAGTCACCCTGTGCCGACCTAAAGCAAACAGCTCTCCACAAAGTCCTATTTAGTATGATTTACATGTTTGAGTATTTCTAACCACTACAATTTTGAAATATAATGTGGTTTCCAGAAGTAAACAGAGCACATGCGTTACTATGAAGACCAGGGGTGAAGTCATCATTCAGATTAGAACCTCCTGACCACCTCCATTCTGGATGTGACAACTTCCCTCAACCACGCAAACATCCAGCGTCGCTTGGTTTCTCTCATTTCTGAGCTTCACAAACCCTCATCAGACAGTTCATACTTTTCTCTGCCTGGCTTCTTTCACTTCTGAACAGGGTGGGAAGATTCGTTCTTGCTTGCTCATTTTCGTTGTGGGGTGTGTGTGTGTGTGTGAATTTGTTAGTGGGTATATATACATGTGTGCTCCTGTGTTTGAAAGCTAGAAATGCATGTTGCATGTTTTTCCTGGATTGCTTTCCACATTTATTTCTTGAGACAAGGTTTATTGCTGAGTCTGAAGCTCATTGATTTGGCTTGACTGACTAGCCAATGAGTTTCAGGGATCTGCCTGTCTCTACCCATATAACATGGAGGTTACAGGTGACCACTGGCATATCTGGCTTTCCTGGGGTTTGAACTCAGATTCTCATATTTGAATGGTAGGCACATTAATTCACTGAGCTGTCTCCCCCGCCCTATCAGTTGTTTTCTTGATTGAATGGTGTAACACGTTTTATAGCTACTACACGCATTTTACCGCTTGGGATAGCTGGTTTGTTTCATTGCTACATGTATTTATAAAGGCACAGAAATGCATTGGTCACCAAGGAAGACTCACAGATATGAGTGGGCTGAACCCCCAAGTCATCATACGGGGAGATGCTATGTTAGAGAGCTGCTGTGCATTTTATACTATCAAAAAATTAACTAGGCAGTGAGCTTTATTACTGCAATACAGCACATCTTACCCAACTAGTAAAAATGATACAGATATTTTCCTTTCAGAAATGCTTCCTGCCAGTCAACGCTGATGATTGAGTTTGCACTTAGAATTGTATGGTTCTAATGAGAGTTCTTGATTTATTAATCCTACTTATAAATAAGGGGGTGGAGGGTAAGGAGCCAGTGCTCACAAACTGGGCCCTGTGTTGGAATCCTTTTCCATGATACTGGCAGTTGTGACTTTGCACAAGACCCACTGGAAGCCCTGATGGCAGCTTGGGGTCATTTAAATGGTTTCTCCATCTTCTTTTAAAAAAATAGAGAGAAAAGAAAAGAAAAAAGATGTTGACTGTTTCTTCTCATTTTTCTCCTCGGCATCAAAATGGACAAGGAGACTAAGGACCTGTATTGATTGTGTCCTAGGACATGAGGAGACAGTACCAGTGTCTCCTCACGGGTAACAATCACCAACCTGGGTCCTAGCAGCTTGGAGAAACCTAATTAGACATGAGGGCACGGTTGCACATGAGCAGTTCAGTTTCATTAAAAAAATGTCATAATGGGCTTTCGGGGCCAGGAGGGATGTTCAGAATTGGCAGAGGACCCTGTGGAGTTCAGAACTTATAACTAAAATTCTGGGCTGAGCATGGTGGTGCAGGCCTTTCATACCAGCACTCAGGAGGCAGAGGCAGGTGGATCTCTGAGTTCAAGGCCAGCCAGGGCTATTAAGAACAATAAATCAGATAATATTAAGTATTTAAAGTAAGAAACGCACAAAAAAAAGTTACATGTTTTAAAAGCTAATGAGTAATGAAAGCATCAACAAAATTGTCAGAAAATGTCGTATTCCTATGGGACTTACTGACCAGACACGACTTTATCGCACATACTCCTTTCCTCGAACTTTTTAGCTACCGACTCTCTGACTCCTTCAAGTTCCAGATCCATTTCCTGTAGGAAGAGTACGGACACACATGACTTTGTGCTTCGTGAGACAGCTACAGACTTGCTACCTTACCAACACTGGGATTCAGATCAACACTTAGCAATTGTATCCCCTGCCTGCAGATACGCTCCTGACACCTTGACCAGACAGGGCTGAATTTGCCGAACCCACCGGCCTGTGGGTTTTATTGCTTGTTGTTTTGTTTTGTTGTAAAGCACTGCTCGGGTGGGACTCCTAGTTCCATCCATCGCGAGTTCCGCCGCTCTTTGCTCCTGGATCCGCTAGTGTGGAGGAAAGATAAAGTTGGCAAGACTCGCACAGAGGGTGGCAGTTCAGCCTTGGCCACTCTTCCCACACCTGTGTGGCTAGTGTCTGCAGACACAAATGAGACGTGAAGTATACTACCTTCCAGCAGGAACGGCTCAGGTTCATGCCAGCAGCATGAGCTCTTGACTTCCAATGACCCTAGTAGTAAGTGGTCCCATGCCACCTCCTTTATCTCTCTCCTCCTGGTTCTATGTCTCATGAAACACAAACAAAATGTCTCTCCAGCCTAATTTTACTTGGCTTGCTTCCCCAAATGTTCACAGCTACTTCAAGGCCACTCCATAAGACTGAGACTTAGACTTAAAATGAATAATGGGCTTAACCCACAATGGTTAAAGTAGAAACATTTTTGCAACATTTACAGAAACATAGTATCATGGACCCACACTGTCAGATCTCACAGTAACACCAAGCAAGAGCTTACAGCTAGACATGCCTAGAAGCCAGTACTACAGCAATACTTTTTTTGTTTTTGTTTTTGGTTTTTTTTTTTTAAGAAAGCATTAATGTAGTGTCAACTATCAAGGAGCCAGAAAGCACACTCAAATCTGTCTACTTGAATCCCAGAGCAGAGGAATTCAGGTGGCCCAAGGGTACAGGGCCGAAGAGGGCTGATAGTCTGAAACACGGAGTTTCCAGTCTCTTTGCTGCCTTGGTCCGTCCTGCTGCAGGAGACAGCGTCCTAAGCTTCTAATCAAGTTTCAAGACACCCTCTTCTTGTTCTTCAGCTTGTGTGTGTGGGGGGGGGCGGAATTTTGATTCCCCAGGCTCCTAAGGTCGTTTTAGGTCAGGTCCTAGGTTTCCATACCTTAGACCTGAAAGTAGCTTGCATTGCAGTTATAGGACCTGACAATACTGAAGTCCTGCTCTCTGCTAGCCGGATCCCGTATTAAAGAAGGGGGTGGTGGTACATGGCTTTAATCCCAGCACTCCGTGGTGGGGGGGGGCAGAGAGAGGCAGATGTCTGTGAGTTCAAGGCTAGCCCGGTCTACAGAGTGAGCTCCAGGACAGGCTCCAAAGCTACAGAGAAACCCTGTCTCGAAAAACAAAAAAACAAAACCAAAACAACCTCACCTCTCAGCAAACCCACTTCTGTATTCCTGTGGCCACACCATCTTTGGTAGTCTCACTTGCTGCGCTGCACAATTTGTATATGGGATGCTAGTTAAGATCCTGCCACCACCATTTCCTATATGGAACTCAAACAAGTCGTCCAGTGCCTCTGTACCTCAGGTTGTCCTGACTGTAAAATGGAAGGAATTAGTTTGGGCAGAGTGGTTGCACAATATCGGGTACATAACAAAGCTCAATACTTATTAGCTCTTTTTTTAAAAAAAATATTTATTTATTTATTATATATACAATGTTCTGTCTGTGTGTATGCCTACAGGCCAGAAGAGGGCACCAGACCCCATTACAGATGGTTGTGAGCCACCATGTGGTTGCTGGGAATTGAACTCAGGACCTTTGGAAGAACAGGCAATGCTCTTAACCTCTGAGCCATCTCTCCAGCCCTACTTATTAGCTCTTGTCTTTACTAGTTCTCTTTACTATTGGCAAAATAATATTCATGTTAAGTCTGGAGCCCTGGATAGGCACAGAAAGGACAGAGAAAAGAGAGTGGAAGATAAACAGACTATTTGTTTTTAGATGACACCAATGCAGCCAAAATTGCACTTAACTAAAGACTGTAAGGAAATTTGCTGAACCATAAGTACATACAAGGTCACAGCATGCCAAAGACAGGGAACACTAACAAGGGGGGGGGGGGTCCTGCACCCAAATGAGAACGAACGATTTTAAAAGAAAAATCATACAGTTGTCCGTAATCAGGCTTAACTCCTGCTCATCAAGAGGACAAGCTGCCAGGACATTTATCTCTCCTCCTGGGGGACTGCTGAACCAGCGGGGGCCTACAGCACTGTACCCTTCCAAACCAAGACATTTACGTGGGGGAGCAAGGGCAGCTGCGGGAACAGGGAGAGGAAGAACAGGGATCTGGGCAAGAAGGAGGTGTGGAGAAGGTGTGGAGAAGAAAAAGAATAGGGAGCGACTGGAGAGAAGGAGCCGAGGGAAGAGAAAAGACCGGGAGAGATGGGGGAACACAGTAAGGATGGGTGGGCAGGGCTGGGGGAACTGGAGGAACAAGGGGAAGAAGAGAGGCTGAGAGAGCTTGGGAAGGAGGCAGGAGAGGTGGGAAAGGTGAGGACCCGAAGCAGGGGCAGGGATAGCTTAGGGTCCGCGTGGTTTGGTGGGAGGAGGCAGATCGACCAGCGGTACTGTTTCGAGACGCCGGCGTAGTACACAGGCGCGGCGCGCAGACGGGGGCGCTGTGGTCTCGGATTGCAGAAGGTGTCACCGGACCCGCCTCTTTCCCCGCCCGCCCGTGTCGCAGGGAAGCCCGGCGGAGCAGGCTCGGCCACATCGCGGCCGCGCGGGCACAGTCGCCCAGCAGAGTGCGGACCTCGCGCCGCCTTTGTCCGCCGGTGGCAGCTGGTC